CACAGGGTGCAAGGAAGAAAGAGATGCCCAGTCTGGGAGCAGCAGCGGTGTAGAGGAGCTCAGTGTCACCCACGGGGTGAATGACAGAGTTCAGAGGTTGGTTTCTTACCCATTGGCCATCCAGAAGGAGGGGTATTTAGTGTCCATCAACAGAGTGTACCATGGTTTAGGGACAGGAGCTGGGGGCTGTAGGGGGATGCTCGGGGGATAAGAGAGGTGAAGAAGAGATGTGCTAAGGGTCAATGGGACCCTTGTGTTCCCTTGCGTTTCGTAAAGATCCCACATGGGTGGGGGCTGTGGGTCTGCAGTGATTCCTTGCATGGGAGGAACTTCCCACGAGTCCTGAAGGGCATACCCCATACCCTTCCTGCTGCCACACCTGGGCCTCCTTCCCCAGCAAGCAGCCTCCTTCAGCCTGGCTGTGCTCTCCATCATGGGTGGGACTGTGGAGGTGGCTTCGAGAGGCAGGCGGTGCAGAGCACTTCATGCCAGTGAAAATCAGTTTCTCAATGGGAAGCAAATATGATTCTTTTTGTTTGCATGGAGTGATCCAGTGCTCTGCTCTGGGTCTGGGCCCCATGTCACCTCCTTGGAAACAGGAGGCCAAGAAAAGAGATGGTGCAGCCAGATCCCCTTCAGTGTTTCATTAAGCAAACTTTCACATGTAGAAGACGTTTGACATTCCACATCCCCTCTATAAATGGTACCATTGAGGCTTGGGGAGGATAGAAGGTTGTTATCACTGAACAAATATATCAAAAGAGTTCATGGCTCAGAGCACTGAGGGATATTAACCCAGGGAGGCAGCTTCTTGCCTTTCCAAAGATTTTTCAACCTGTCTCAGAAGTGAAATGTTAAGTCAAGAGCCAGAAATGGAAGGGTTGAATATCTTGCCACAGCAGCAGGAGCTGCTCTGTACTCCTGTAATACCAGGGAACTCCAAAGTTTCAGCATCTTCCTGTTCCACTTCAACCCACCTGCTGTGGCACAGCCTGAGACATCTCTCTGCAAAGGTCCTACGCGGGGAAAACATCTACCAACCAAGCTTCCCACAGACATTTATTTGTTTGGGTGGAAATCAATGCACATGAAACAGTGTTGCCTCCGTGTGCTGCACACCTTTGCCATCAGTTAACACACAGCCCAAACAGCATCGTACGACCAGGACAGCAGCCTGTCTCCTTCTCCATGACCAGCCACACAAACACAGACAGCAAACACAGAGCAAAACAGGCCAGGACCTCGCCTGTCTCTACCCAGCTGTCCTCCTGCCTGCCCAAGCACTGCTCAGCAGCTAAAGTCTGGGTCCTGGGGCCTTGTGGGGGGAGGTAGGGATGAATTAGGGAAGCAAGTCCCCCAGTGAGGGGGACCTTCTAGGTCTCGAGCCTTTGGTCTGTGTGGATCAAAGCAAACACCTGTATTGCACCAGATGCGTGACTGCAGAGTGACCAAGCAAAGCAGCAAGTGGACAGTTTCAGAAAAAGCAGGGAGTGAGTGGCCCAATCTGTCCCATCAGCTTCTGGATGGATGCTACTGATGGTGGCCTGTCATGCCTGCTTGGACAACAGCCCCAACTGTGCACTGCACCTCATTCCATTACACAGGGTTGGCAAAGCAGAGAGGAGCATTCTGTGACTTAATCTGCCCCTGTGATCTACAGGGTGCTCCCTCCAGCCCACATTGAAGCCTCTCCCAAGCAAAGAGAGCACCAGGCAGCAGCAGGTGGTGGTTGTAGGATGCTGGATGTCCTAGGATGCTGTAGGACATTAACAGTAAGCAGCACAAAGTAAGCAGGCTTCAGACTGAGACCACTGAAGTCAACTCAGAAGTGACACAAGACAAAGCAGGGTCAAGTTTGCTAGAGATGGCCAGGTGTCACGTCAGCCCAGTTGGACCTTTCACCCTGGTCTGCGAGTGTGCAGAAGGACTGGTTCAGTTTGTGGACTTTTCTGGCTGCTGGTAAGATCCATATGAGGAGGAGATTGCTCAGAAAGGACAAGTGAATGGAAACTCCCTTGCAAAGGTCAGAGAACAGGTTCCCACACACTGGGTTTTCTGGCAGTGCCTGATACAGAAATGCAGGAGGATCTTGGACCTGCTTATGGCATTGCTCTCGGAAGGATCCCACCTGCATTGTGTTTTATAAGGTTTAATGTCCTCTTAGGTGCAAGGGAAACAGCCAAATGGGTTGTGACCATCTCATTGGCATGGGCATGTCAGACAGTGACCCAGGCAGGAACACCATCTCAAGACCTTGCAGCAAGCTGCAGCAGGATTGAACTGGAGGAATCAGCCTTTTGGCCAGAGGGCATCAGAGCTCTTGGACAGCCACCCAAACAGGAGGCCACCCCAGGACACCCAGGGCAGAAGGGTAGGCAGGGTGGGAGGTGTGAGAGGCCTTCACACCCAGCGAGAGAGAGCGCCTGTCCTGCCACGGTGGGCATTAGCAGCTCTGGCTGTGCCACCTCAACAGAGGTGGATGCTCAGAAGGAACCACAGGAACTGAGACATTGGGTGACCACAGGATGCCATGAGTCTTTTGCACAAGACTTTATGTCCAGCTCATGGTGCCAAGCTCAGAGGCACTGACCGGGGCACTGGAGGGCAGGTTGGAATGCCCTCTTGGAGTGAGAGTGTCTTTCACCCGCTATCTCCACCTTCCCCTGCCACTTTCCAGTCTCCTGTTTGCTTTTCATTTCCTTCTGCATGTTGCCCTGTTCAGAATTTTTCTGCTTTTCACTTTTGTTCTAATTTCCTCCTTTTTCTTGGAGCTGAAAACTGCATCCAGTAATAGTGAGATGGGGAAAGCAACTCACCTGCTCATGGTTCAACACACCGGGTCTGTGCTCAGGTGATAACAAGAATTAGCCCTTCATTCAGCCAGCTCTGGGGACTGCCCCTCACGTTTTGCTCAGATCTACTCAAGAGCCCTGGAGCACCTTGCAATAAAACCAATGCAAACACAACAAAACCCAGACCAGAGACATTCTCCACCAAGAGTCCTCAGGAATCATCCCCTAGAGACTCACAAGGTGGTACAAGGCTAAGAATGAGACATCATCTGTGGCCACAGCATGTCTTGGATGGAGGAGCACAACGTTCTCCAAACATGAGCTCCCAGTGCTTTCCTTATTACTCTGTCCAGGTGAAGGGCTGCACTGGTCCTCTCTGTCACGGACTCGCTTGCTGCTCCTGCACACACCTCTTCCAAGCTGAGCTTGGGTGGAATTCCATGTTTGTTGATGTCATGGAGGAGATGACTGCTGACATGGCACCGAGGACACGTGCCATCATTCAAGCTTGCACCAGCCTGCTTGGGAAGTCTCTTCCATGGTGGTGCTGCAGTGGGAAGCATGAACAGTAATGGGAAGTTGAAACTCTAGGAGGAGAGCAGATTGTGGACTCTGGCTGGAGACCTGAGGAGGAAAGGCAAGAGACAGGACACCATGGGTTGCAACCATGCAATCCCCTTGCTGCCTCCCTTCTCCAATGGCTAGAGACCTAACCCTGCTGTATAGAGTGCCTAATGCAAATGAGACTAACTCTCAGGTGTCAGGCCACCTGCCACAGTGGAAGTCTCCAGCAATATTAAGGATGAAATGTATCCTCCCACAGAGACTACAACCCACAGGGTCTCCATTGCCATCATCCTCCTCTGACACAGTACTTGTCACTGTCCTTTGGGACCTAGCACTCAGCTTTGGCCACGCTCATCACCTACTGGGTGAAGCCCAAGCGTGGAGGAAGGTGGGAGCTCAATGGGTGGGTGGTTTCACCTCCTTGCCAGCTGCCCTGTGATGAGCTGTAAGGTCTGGACTCAGATTTGTGCTGCTGGAGTGCAGAATTTCACTTCAGCTGTATTAAAACACATCCTTACAGACACAACTTCATTGCAGCTGATTTGCTTCACATGTGTCCTCGCAACAGTCTGGCAGGAGTGAGCTCAGCTCACCAGCTATCACCATTCAGCCTTTGCTCCACCCCACACCCACAAGCTGTTTAGGTCTTGCTTGGCTTGTCTGCACCCCACAGGCACCCCATTTTGGCAGCACGTGCTGTGGAGCAGGGTCACGCACAGGCGTAAGAGTGGGGAGGCAGCTTTAGCCAGGCAGAGCTGGTCCAGTGGGGACCCAACCACACGCCTCTCTGAGCCCGATTGCTGCAGCCTCCTCCTGGGGTAAGGTGGAGAAGTCCATACCAGCACCTCTCTATGGGTCTGCCACTCCCTGAGACAACATTTAAAATGAGTTTATGTCCTGAACC